GCAAAACACGCTGGCTGAGCTCTCTTTCCCTGTGGTGGCGGGCTCGTAGCAGAGAGGACATCTCCTAGATGTCTCGCGACGTATCCATAATCTCTCCTCGTGGTAACCAGTGCAGTGACGATGTTCGTTGTATTTGTGGCAGTATTGTATGTGCTTGTTACATGTAAGCTTAATTATTTTATCTTGTGGGGATATCTACCAGTGAATAATTTATTTTTATTTGGAGGTATTTATTTTAATTGTTATTTAATTGTTATTTCTAAGCGTACTGTATATTTTATGGCTTATTTTCACTAATAAACCTACACTTCATATAAATGAGGGGGGAGGGCGGCAGCCATTTTAATCATAATAGTATAGTAGGCATCCTTCAATCCCGTGGGGTTATGGAGTTGTGCCCTGGGTGTCTAGTTGGAAGCAGCGCCTGCTGTGGCTGTGAAGGCCAACCCGAGAATGACAGTCTCGACTGCAGCGAGCGCAGATAAACGCTGAAGCGGGTGCGTCTAACAAGGGTCGAGACCTCCTCTGAAGTCTATTACCCTCTGTCTGCCTCTTCAGGTCATCCTCGAATTGCTGGAGTCTCTTCTGCACTTTGCTTCTTCAGGCAGATCTGTCCGCAGCTGCTGCGGACAGATCACAAGTGTTGATGTCGATATTCATCTGCTTGAGGTCGCGTTTGCAGGCATCTTTGAAACGCAGCTCAGGTCTCCCTGTGAGTCTCCTTCCTAATGCCAGTTCTCCATACAAGAGGTCCTTCGGTATGCGGCCATCTTCCATGCTTGTGACATATCCCAGCCATCGCACGTGTCTCTGTTTCAGGAGAGTGAACATTGAAGGGACTCCTGTTCCCTCGAGTACTGTGTTGTTGGTGACGTGGTCTTTCCACATGATGTCAAGGATGCGTCTCAGGTTCCGCATGTGAAAGGTATTGAGCCGTCTCTCCTGGCGAGAGCGCAGGGTGCAGGATTCCGAGCCGTAGAGAAGTGTACTCACCGCACTTGCCATGTAGACTTGTGCCTTGGTGTGCACTGTCAGTTTGGCTTTTTCTCAAGCGCGCTTTGTGAGCCTGGCCAGTGTTGTTGCGGCCTTCCCGATACGCCTGTTAAGTTCAGTGTCCAGGGAAAGGGTGTCTGAGATTGTGTAGCCCAGGTACACAAACTCGTGAACTGCCTTCAGCACATAGTCTGCTATGTTTATACAGAGAAGCTCATTGACGTCTTGTCCCATCACCTGTGTCTTCTTCAGGCTGATTGTCAGGCCGAATGCGGAACAGGCTGTGGCAAAGCGTTTGAGTAGCTGCTGCAGGCATTCTACTGTGTGTGTGGTGATCGCTGCGTCGTCGGCGAAGAGGAACGCCCTGAGGATTCGCATTTGTACTTTTGTCTTTGCTCGGAGTCTGGATAGATTATAGAGCTTTCCATTAGATCTTGTACGGCGATAGATGCCCTCTGTGGTTGTTCCAAAGGCATGCTTGACGAGGATCGCGAAGAAGATGCCGAACAGGGTTGGAGCAAGAACGCACTTCTGTTTAACGCCACTGTTTATGTTGAATGGTTCAGATATTGAATAGTCGAACACGACTGTTCTCTTCATATTCTTGTGGAACAATTGTATCATGCTGAGTAGGGTGGGTGGGCAGCCAATTTTGGCCAAGATCTTAAAGAGTCTGTCCCTGCTCACGAGGTCGAAGGCCTTTGTAAGGTCAATGAAGGTGATGTACAACGCTTTTCTCTGCTCCCTGCACTCTTCTTGAAGCTGTCTCAGGGAGAACACCATGTCAGTGGTCGACCTCTCTGCTCGGAAACCACACTGTGACTCATGGTATACACTCTTTCAGCATGAATCTGAAGCCTGACCAAGACGACCCTGGCGAAGAGTTTGTCGACGACGCTGAGGAGGGAGATGCCGCGATAGTTGTTGACAGCGCTTCTGTCACCTTTATTTTTGTAGAGAGTGATGATGTTTGCATCTCTCCTGTCTTGTGGCACCGAGCCCTCCCTCCAGCACTGGCACAGAAGTTCATGAAGCTCAGTTCAAGTGTTCCACGAGCGCACTTGAGAACTTCAGGTGGAATCCCGTCATCTTCTGGGGCCTTCCCTGAGGAGAGTGAATCCACTGCTTTCTCAACTTCTTCCACAGTCGGTTCAAGATCAAGTTCTTCCATGGTGGGCAGGCACTCGATTGCATCCCAAGCCTCTATGCTGACTAAGTTCTCACTGGAGTTCGGAGTAATGTTCCACCCAGCGATTCATACGTTGATCACGGTCTTTAATGATCTTTCCAGTGGCTGACTTCAGAGGAGCTGTCCTCTAATAAATATTAATAATCATATTAATCTCATTGTAATTAAATGGCAGATCTCAGTTCTAATTGGTAAATCTAAGTTACTAAGTATTAGTAAAAATTGAAACAGTCTGAGCTATTTATGCAGTGTGTAAGTTGATCATCCAACATCACACTCCGTCAGCCACGTGTTCAGTCTGTACCAGACCCGTCAGTCACGTGCACAGTCTGTACCATACCCGTCAGCCACGTGTACAGTACGTACCATATCCGTCAGCTACGTGTACAGTCTGTACAATACCCGTCAGGCACATGTACAGTCTGTAACATACCCGTCAGCCACATGTACAGTCTGTACCATACCCGTCAGCCACAAGTATAGTGTGTACCAGACCCGTCAGCCACGTGTACAGTCCGTACCATACCCGTCAGCTACCTGTACAGTCTGTACCATACCCGTCAGCCACAAGTATAGTGTGTACCAGACCCGTCAGCCACGTGTACAGTCCGTACCATACCCGTCAGCTACCTGTACAGTCTGTACCATACCCGTCAGCCACAAGTATAGTGTGTACCATACCCGTCAGCCACGTGTACAGTCCGTACTATACCCGTCAGCCACATGTACAGTCTGTACCATACCCGTCAGCCACGTGTACAGTCCGTACCATACCCGTCAGCCACGTGTACAGTCTGTACCATACCCGTCAGGCACATGTACAGTCTGTAACATACCCGTCAGCCACATGTACAGTCTGCACCATACCCGTCAGCCACGTGTACAGTCCGTACTATACCCGTCAGCCACATGTACAGTCTGTACCATACCCGTCAGCCACGTGTACAGTCCGTACCATACCCGTCAGCCACGTGTACAGTCTGTACCATACCCGTCAGGCACATGTACAGTCTGTAACATACCCGTCAGCCACATGTACAGTCTGTACCATACCCGTCAGCCACGTGTACAGTCCGTACTATACCAGTAATAATAGCGGCCTCGTAATCCCACTATGGTGTAGCATCTTCATGTGATCACAATTTACCTGTGGAAGTGTTACATCCTAACATTTACAAACAACCGATATAATACAATTGTAATACATGAGTATAAAGTATAATAATAATAGATTCTTACCTTTGCGGATGGTTTTATCTGGCATCGTAACGATTAATCCTAGACACTGAAATAATTGGTTGATAAATCTATGCTAATAGAAAAAAACTAATTTTGCACTTTCCTCAATTTTGTCAAGTCATTGCAACAAATAGTGACTGCTTGTTGGTCACGCTGCGGTCTAGGACTTGTGGGTAAAGTTAGTGACTGATGTGGGAGGCTCGGTTTGTCGACACCAATATCACATTATGTTGATTCACTCTCCTGTGTAAGTGCACGAATGGCGTCTCTTCCTCCGCGCGCGTCACCTCATGGTGTGCTCTATATCGAGAACTGGGAGGAGGGTTTTGTTTAATTTTATAAAGCAATTTAATTACAATACATTACATACATTATGTCATTACATACATTACATACATTACACGAATTACAATATACGTGTAATTTATTTAAAAGACTAGTTTCATACTATTCCCAGTCCTGAGACTGGTGATTTTTATATTAAATTAGCTAGAAACGTTTAGAGATCGAGATGTAGACGACTCAGGAATATTAATCCAGTTTTCTGGAACAAAGTTGTCATTTTCGTCATCTCCTTCATGACTAACTAAAACAATTTATTCATACTTAAACTGATACAAACCAACATTTATTAAAATTTATGAATGATGCATGAATTTCCCATATATCTTTATGTTCCAGTGCCGACTGGCAATTGTTAGTACTTCTCCATCTTTTGTGTATATGGTGTAAACTTGTGTGAGTATCATTCTGGATCACGTGACCTGAGAATATTGCTTCATCCACAATTGGTAATTGCAAGTGTAACAGATATAACAGTGAACTAATATCCAGTTAAGAATACTCCTCATGTATATTAAATTTCAGTGTTAATATTGTGAATATTAGAGTATACATGTGTGTTAAATAAGTCCAAATTTAGTGGGTCTAGTAATCCTTGGTAAAGTTCTCGGTTGATACTATCAGAGCCATGTTCAATATATATTTATTTTTGTGTGCGTCTAACTTTAAGGCTATGCTTATAGACCCACTGTACAGTTAGACATTAACATGTCTCCTTCATCTATGTGTCTAAACACTGACTGGCCCCGGGCAGGGAGATGAGCGAATGGTCCTATCCAGGTGAGTCTGGTTAAACAATGACTATAAGAACTACTGAAGGGCAGACTCTATATTTACCTTGCTCTTTAGTAAGGACGGCTGTCAGTACTCGTACTCTGATACAAGTAGGAACAAGCTCGTGTCCACACGACATAAGAGCCCGTCCCCCTACAATACAATATCCGTTAAACAGAACCGAGGAATAAGCAGCATGCATACGTCACGAAAGGTTGTTAACTTAGTTCTGGTTCAAAGTATACGAAATACACAACATTAGTGTAGAGTTAAATCCCGCTTTCAATGTTCAACAACTTTTTTCGAGAAAGTAACTATTAAAGGACGGCTTTCAACATCTGCAAGTTCTCACTGGTCCAGTACATAAGCGACACATTAAAGGTTTACTCACCTACAAACTTGTGATGATTCACCATGAACAAAAAGAAGAGCGACATTTGTCTAAGACTGTGACATTGTGCAGGTAGAGGGTGGATCAGGAGAGGTGTACTACGAGCAGCTGCTGGGTGTGATCAGCCTGTGTGACGACACCCAGCAGGCGGGTCAGCTGTTGTGGTCAGGAGCGTCCCTGGAGCCCCAGGGATGCTGGAGCGTCTCCCCGCTCTGTCTGGCCGTCACCAGTAACCGGTGCAGGATCACCAGCCTCCTGCTGGCAGCTGGAGCACCGCTCACCACCACCTCCCACGGCCTCAACCTGCTGACACTAGCCTGGTGCTCCCCTGACGTCACTCTCCGTCTTCAGGTCACCATCACGCGGGTGAGTCTCCACCATATACCTGTTGGTATAGTGACCACCATACACCAGGTGGTATAGTGTCCACCATACACCAATTGGTATAGTGACCACCATACACCAGTTAGTATAGTATATACCAACACACTATATACCAACACCAGTTGGTATAGTGTCCACCATACACCAATTGGTATAGTGACCACCATACACCAGTTGGTATAGTGTATACCAACACCAGTTGGTATAGTGTGGTGGACACTATACCAACATACACAAGTTGGTATAGTGACCACCATACACCAGTTGGTATAGTGACCAACATACACCAGTTGGTATAGTGACCACCATACAACAGTTGGTATAGTGACCAAAATACACAAATTGGTATTGTGTCCACCAGTAGTAGTAGTGAAATTTACGACATAGACCGTGTGCACCATCTGCCAGCTGGTGCAACAGGTGTACCAGGTGGCAGATGGCACGCGCGGGCTACGTCGTAAGGGCTAAAGTGTGTGTGGCCTAAGTGATGGTGGCGACGTGGGCCGTGTGCGTAACTACACACATATATAATATATATATATATATATATATATATATATATATATATATATATATATATATATATATATATATATATATATATATATATATATATATATATATATATATATATATATATATATATATATATATATATATATGTCGTACCTAATAGCCAGAACGCACTTCTCAGCCAACTATGCATGGTTCAATTTGCCTAATAAGCCAAGTTTTCCTGAATTAATTTATTTACTATAATTTTTTCTTATGAAATGATAAAGCTACCCTTTTCACTATGTATGAGGTCAATTTTTTTTATTGGAGTTAAAATTAACGTAGATATATGACCGAACCTAACCAACCCTACCTAACCTAACCTAACCTATATATATAGGTAAGGTTAGGTTAGGTAGCCAAAAAAAGCTAGGTTAGGTTAGGTTAGGTAGGTTAGGTAGACGAAAAACATTAATTCATGAAAACTTGGCTTATTAGGCAAATCGGGCATTGCATAGTAGGCTGAGAAGTGAGTTCTGGCTACTAGGTACGGCATATATATATATATATATATATATATATATATATATATATATATATATATATATATATATATATATATATATATATATATATATATATATATGTCGTACCTAATAGCCAGAACGCACTTCTCAGCCTACTATTCAAGGCCCGATTTGCCTAATAAGCCAAGTTTTCATGAATTAATGTTTTTTCGTCTACCTAACCTACCTAACCTAACCTAACCTAGCTTTTTTTGGCTACCTAACCTAGCCTTACCCATAAATATAGGTTAGGTTAGGTTAGGTAGGGTTGGTTAGGTTCGGTCATATATCTACGTTAATTTTAACTCCAATAAAAAAAATTGACCACATACATAGAGAAAAGGGTTGCTTTATCATTTCATAAGAAAAAAATTATAGTAAATATATTAATTCAGGAAAACTTGGCTTATTAGGCAAATCGGGCCTTGTATAGTAGGCTGAGAAGTGAGTTCTGGCTACTAGGTACGACATATATATATATATATATATATATATATATATATATATATATATATATATATATATGTCGTACCTAGTAGCCAGAACGCACTTCTCAGCCTACTATGCAAGGCCCGATTTGCCTAATAAGCCAAGTTTTCATGAATTAATTGTTTTTCGACTACCTAACCTACCTAACCTAACCTAACCTAACTTTTTCGGCTACCTAACCAAACCTAACCTATAAAGATAGGTTAGGTTAGGTTAGGTAGGGTTGGTTAGGTTCGGTCATATATCTACGTTAATTTTAACTCCAATAAAAAAAAATTGACCTCATACATAATGAAATGGGTAGCTTTATCATTTCATAAGAAAAAAATTCGAAAAAATATATTAATTCAGGAAAACTTGGCTTATTAGGCAAATCAGGCCTTGAATAGTAGGCCAAAAAGTGAGTTCTGGCTACTAGGTACGACATATGTATATATATATATATATATATATATATATATATATATATATATATATATATATATATATATATATATATATATATATATATATATATATATATATATATATATATATATATTAGTATATTTTGGTAGCAGTCTTTCCTGTAGACATATATTATTAAATATGACCGAAAAAGTAAGATTAACAATTCTAACACTACACATGTTTGCGAGGCACTACACATCAAGAAGTCAACACCAGCAATCAACAGCCAATTATTGCACAACTATATTCTACCCACCTCAAGACTCCGCTCCAATATAGAAGCATCAAGAAATATGGACCAATAGGCTTTCTACAAACACTTCTATTCAATACCCATTGTTTCGTGTTCTGTCTTGTGTTGATGAAATTAATACCCTATTAATGCCACCCCTTGTTCTGTCTTGTGTTGATGAAATTAATAACCTATTAATGCCACCTCTTGTTCTGTCTTTTGTTGATTAATGCCACATCACCCCTTCCACCTCACTCAAATGTAGATATAAAATCGGAGATGCGTAAGTTCTATTCAGTTGTGTATTTGTAAACTAAAGTCTTTGAAAATGTAATAAGTTTTACGAAACGCACTCGTGTCGCGTCAGACTAGAAATAAAAATGAATTTTGGAGAATTGATTTTTGATTTACCTCCAACAGTGAAAAGAAATGTACGAAAGATTGAGAAAATTCGTGTTAGAATTATTAATCTTACTTTTTCGGTCATATTTAATAATATATATATATATATATATATATATATATATATATATATATATATATATATATATATATATATATATATATATATGTATAGGTATATATATATATATATATATATATATATATATATATATATATATATATATATATATATATATATATATATATATATATATATATATATATATATATATTATTAAATATGACCGAAAAAGAAAGATTAATAATTCTAACACGAATTTTCTCAATCTTTCGTACATTTCGTTTCACTGTTGGAGGTAAATCAAAAATCAATTCTCCAAAATTCATTTTTATTTCTAGTCTGACGCGACACGAGCGCGTTTCGTAAAACTTATTACATTTTCAAAGACTTTAGTTCACAAATACACAACTGAATAGAACTTACGCATCTCAGATTTTATATCTACATTTGAGTGAGGTGGAAGGGGTGATGTGGCATTAACACAAGACAGAACAAGATGTGGTATTAATAGGGTATTTATTTCATCAACACAAGACAGAACAAGAGTATTAATAGGGTATTAATTTCATCAACACAAGACAGAACACGAAACAATGGATATTGAATAGAAGTGTTTGTAGAAAGCCTATTGGTCCATATTTCTTGATGCTTCTATATTGGAGCGGAGTCTTGAGGTGGGTAGAATATAGTTGTGCAATAATTGGCTGTTGATTGCTGGTGTTGACTTCTTGATGTGTAGTGCCTCGCAAACGTCAAGCCGCCTGCTATCGCTGTATCTATCGATGATTTCTGTGTTGTTTACTAGGATTTCTCTGGCGATGGTTTGGTTGTGGGAAGAGATTATATGTTCCTTAATGGAGCCCTGTTGCTTATGCATCGTTAAACGCCTAGAAAGAGATGTTGTTGTCTTGCCTATATACTGTTTTTTTTGGAGCTTACAGTCCCCAAGAGGGCATTTGAAGGCATAGACGACGTTAGTCTCTTTTAAAGCGTTCTGTTTTGTGTCTGGAGAGTTTCTCATGAGTAGGCTGGCCGTTTTTCTGGTTTTATAGTAAATCGTCAGTTGTATCCTCTGATTTTTGTCTGAAGGGATAACGTTTCTATTAACAATATCTTTCAGGACCCTTTCCTCCGTTTTATGAGCTGTGGAAAAGAAGTTCCTGTAAAATAGTCTAATAGGGGGTATAGGTGTTGTGTTAGTTGTAACACAGTTGTATAGGTAACACCTATTATTTAATATTTGAGTTTTTTATAAGATTTTGGTTAGTACTTTATAATTGTCTTTTATTCTATTTGTATTTTACATACATATATTGTAGATTTGTAGTCATTATATAAATATTTGTTATAGTGTTTAGTATCTATGTGTTAGGTATCAAGTTTCACTTCTGATCACTTCACGTAAGTTTAATAGAATGGTTTGTTTTAGTAGTTATAAATTTCATCTTGTAGTTTAATGGATTTTTAAATTAGCTTTAATATATGTGACAGTTAATAAGTTTTATTTGTATTGATCACGTTAAGTGCGCTTAAGTGTTCTGTTTTTTAAGCATTTTCCTTTCTTTGATAGGCAATTATATTCAGTATGAGTTCTTTGTTTACCAGTTATTTGATTGTGATTTCTGTTTTTTCTTTTAGATCTGATGATGAATACGAGAAGTATTCGAAACGTTATGCATTTTAAAGTAAAGAATCTGAAACAAGATGTTCAGTATACCCCTGGTTTTCCTATTCATCTTAAAATTAAGATTCCCGAAGGGAACATCGATCATAAATATATATATATATATATATATATATATATATATATATATATATATATATATATATATATATATATATATATATATATATATATATATATTGGTGTATACTGGCAGCAGGTTTTCTTTCAAACATGTTTCATTGAATATGACCGCATATTCTGTATTTATTATTTTCTGGTTTAGGGCTTCTATCCCTCTAACTATTTTCTTAGCAAATTAAGAAAATAATTAATACTATTTTCAATTAAGCCCTGATGCTAAGAAAATAGTTAGAGGGATAGAAGCCCTAAACCAGAAAATAATAAATACAGAATATGCGGTCATATTCAATGAAACATATATATATATATATATATATATATATATATATATATATATATATATATATATATATATATATATATATATATATATGTCGTACCTAGTAGCCAGAACTCACTTCTCAGCCTACTATTCAAGGCCCGATTTGCCTAATAAGCCAAGTTTTCCTGAATTAATATATTTACTATAATTTTTTTCTTATGAAATGATAAAGCAACCCTTTTCTCTATGTATGAGGCCAATTTTTTTTTATTAGAGTTAAAATTAACGTAGATATATGACCGAACCTAACCAACCCTACCTAACCTAACCTAACCTATATTTATAGGTAAGGTTAGGTTAGGTAGCCAAAAAAAGCTAGGTTAGGTTAGGTTAGGTAGGTTAGGTAGACGAAAAAACATTAATTCATGAAAACTTGGCTTATTAGGCAAATCGGGCCTTGAATAGTAGGCTGAGAAGTGCGTTCTGGCTATTAGGTACGACATATATATATATATATATGTCGTACCTAGTAGCCAGAACTCACTTCTCAGCCTACTATTCAAGGCCCGATTTGCCTAATAAGCCAAGTTTTCCTGAATTAATATATTTACTATAATTTTTTTTCTTATGAAATGATAAAGCAACCTTTTTCTCTATGTATGAGGTCAATTTTTTTTATTGGAGTTAAAATTAACGTAGATATATGACCGAACCTAACCAACCCTACCTAACCTAACCTAACCTATATTTATAGGTAAGGTTAGGTTAGGTAGCCAAAAAAAGCTAGGTTAGGTTAGGTTAGGTAGGTTAGGTAGACGAAAAAACATTAATTCATGAAAACTTGGCTTATTAGGCAAATCGGGCCTTGAATAGTAGGCTGAGAAGTGCGTTCTGGCTATTAGGTACGACATATATATATATATATATATATATATATATATATATATATATATATATATATATATATATGTCGTACCTAGTAGCCAGAACGCACTTCTCAGCCTACTATGCAAGGCCCGATTTGCCTAATAAGCCAAGTTTTCATGAATTAATTGTTTTTCGACTACCTAACCTACCTAACCTAACCTAACCTAACTTTTTCGGCTACCTAACCAAACCTAACCTATAAAGATAGGTTAGGTTAGGTTAGGTAGGGTTGGTTAGGTTCGGTCATATATCTACGTTAATTTTAACTCCAATAAAAAAAAATTGACCTCATACATAATGAAATGGGTAGCTTTATCATTTCATAAGAAAAAAATTAGAAAAAATATATTAATTCAGGAAAACTTGGCTTATTAGGCAAATCGGGCCATGCATAGTAGGCCAAAAAGTGAGTTCTGGCTATTAGGTACGACATATATATATATATATATATATATATATATATATATATATATATGTATGTCGTACCTAGTAGCCAGAACGCACTTTTCACCCTACTATGCAAGGCCCGATTTGCCTAATAAGCCAAGTTTTCCTGAATTAATATATTTTCTCTATTTTTTTTCTTATGAAATGATAAAGCTACCCATTTCATTATGTATGAGTTCAATTTTTTTTATTGGAGTTATAATTAACGTAGATATATGACCAAACCTAACCAACCCTACCTAACCTAACCTATCTTTATAGGTTAGGTTAGGTTAGGTAGCCAAAAAAGTTAGGTTAGGTTAGGTTAGGTAGCCGAAAAAGTTAGGTTAGGTTAGGTTAGGTAGTCGAAAAACAATTAATTCATGAAAACTTGGCTTATTAGGCAAATCGGGCCTTGCATAGTAGGGTGAGAAGTACGTTCTGGCTACTAGGTACGACATATATATATATATATATATATATATATATATATATATATATATATATATATATATATATATATATATATATATATATATATATATATATATATATATATATATGTAGCGTGTGTATGTGTGTGTGTGTGTAGCGTGTATATATGTAAATGTATATATACTTAGTATTACCTATCTACAACATTCAATACATAATTTAACCCTTTATACGACACACTTCTCCTCCCCCTTTACATGAAGACTAGGTGAACCACCTGCCACAGCTGGTGCACTTAGTACACGTTCATAGCGGTGGAGTTTGTGGTTACGCACATGGCCCACGTCGCCACCATAACTTAGGCCACACACACTGTAGCCCTTACGACGTAGCCCGCACGGGCTGCACCTGTTGCACCAGCTGGCAGATGGTGCACACGGTCTACGTCGTAACGTGTATACAGGTGTTGGTGCATGTGTTACAACAATACAATGTGTTTACAGGTGTTGGTGTATGTGTTACAACAATACAATGTGCTTACAGGTGTTCCTTCATATACTGGAGCAAGAACGTGCTAAGATCAAAGAGCTGGCAGAGCTTGGTGCAGTTGTTGATGAAGTAAGAGAGCTTGGTGCAGGTGTTGATGAAGTAAGAGAGCTTGGTGCAGGTGTTGATGAAGTAAGAGAGCTTGGTGCAGGTGTTGATGAAGTAAGAGAGCTTGGTGCAGGTGTTGATGAAGTAAGAGAGCTTGGTGCAGGTGTTGATGAACTAATATCCACCATAGGAGGCAAGGCCCCATGGCAAGCCCGCTGGCCCCGAGGCAGGTCAGTGATGAGCCTGACTAAGCTCATGGTTCAGGCGGCTCGTGCCAAGTGCACCTTGACCTGCAGCTTCCTCCACCGGGCTGGTGCTCAGTCCTCCTTACGTAGCAAGTCCGGCGCGAGTCCTCTGCACGCTGCCCTGGACGCTGGACACTGGGAACTAGCGGAGCGAATGGTGAAGGATATGGACGGGTCTCTGTATGTTCCTGACTCCGCAGGTCGCCAGCCCACAGTCATCCTGCCTCCACACCTCGCCCACTCTCTGGAGCAGGTCAGTGTATATACTCCACACCTCACTCTCTGTAGCTGGTCAGTGTACATGCTCCACACCTCACCCACTCTCTGGAGCAGGTCAGTGTACATGCTCCACACCTCACCCACTCTCTGGAGCAGGTCAGTGTACATGCTCCACACCTCGCCCACTCTCTGGAGCAGGTCAGTGTACATGCTCCACACGTCGCCCACTCTCTGTAGTAGGTCAGTGTACATGATCCACACCTCGCCCACTCTCTGGAGCAGGTCAGTGTACATGCTCCACACCTCGCCCACTCTCTGGAGCAGGTCAGTGTACATGCTCCACATCTCACCCACTCTCTGTAGCAGGTCAGTGTACATGCTCCACACCTCACCCACTCTCTCGAGGTGGTCAGTGTACATGCTCCACACCTCATGCACCCACTCTCTGGAACAGGTTAATACACATGCTACACACCTCACCCACTCTCTGCAGGTGGTCAGTGTACATGCTCCTCACCTCACCCACTCTCTGGAGCAGGTCAGTGTACATGCTCCACACCTCACTAACTCTCTGGAGCAGGTCAGTGTACATGCTCCACACCTCACTCACTCTCTGGAGCAGGTTAGAGTACATGCTCCACACCTCGCCCACTCTCTGTAGCAGGTCAGTGTACATGCTCCACACCTCACTCACTCTCTGGAGCAGGTCAGTGTACATGCTCCACACCTCGCCCACTCTCTCTGTAGCAAGTCAGTGTACACGCTCCACAACTCACTCACTTACTGGAGCAGGTCAGTGTACATGCTCCACACCTCACCCACTCTCTTTAGCAGGTTAGTGTACATGCTCCACACCTCACTAACTCTCTGGAGCAGGCCAGTGTACATGCTCCACACCTCACCCACTCTCTTTAGCAGGTTAGTGTACATGCTCCACACCTCACTCACTCTCTAGAGCAGGTCAGTGTACATGCTCCACACCTCACTCACTCTCTAGAGCAGGTCAGTGTACATGCTCCACACGTCACTCACTCTCTGGAGAAGGTCAGTGTACATGCTCCTCACCTCACCCACTTTCTTTAGCAGGTCAGTGTACATGCTCCACACCTCACCCACTCTCTCGAGGTGGTCAGTGTACATGCTCCACACCTCATGCACCCACTCTCTGGAACAGGTCAATACACATGCTACACACCTCACCCACTCTCTGCAGGTGGTCAGTGTACATGCTCCTCACCTCACCCACTCTCTGGAGCAGGTCAGTGTACATGCTCCACACCTCACTAACTCTCTGGAGCAGGTCAGTGTACATGCTCCACACCTCACTCACTCTCTGGAGCAGGTTAGAGTACATGCTCCACACCTCGCCCACTCTCTGTAGCAGGTCAGTGTACATGCTCCACACCTCACTCACCCTCTCTGGAGCAGGTCAGTGTACATGCTCCACACCTCGCCCACTCTCTCTGTAGCAAGTCAGTGTACACGCTCCACAACTCACTCACTTACTGGAGCAGGTCAGTGTACATGCTCCACACCTCACCCACTCTCTTTAGCAGGTTAGTGTACATGCTCCACACCTCACTAACTCTCTGGAGCAGGTCAGTGTACATGCTCCACACCTCACCCACTCTCTTTAGCAGGTTAGTGTACATGCTCCACACCTCACTCACTCTCTAGAGCAGGTCAGTGTACATGCTCCACACCTCACTCACTCTCTAGAGCAGGTCAGTGTACATGCTCCACACGTCACTCACTCTCTGGAGAAGGTCAGTGTACATGCTCCTCACCTCACCCACTTTCTTTAGCAGGTCAGTGTACATGCTCCACACCTCACCCACTCTCTTTAGCAGGTTAGTGTACATGCTCCACACCTCACTAACTCTCTGGAGCAGGTCAGTGTACATGCTCCACACCTCACCTACTCTCTTTAGCAGGTTAGTGTACATGCTCTACACCTCACTCACTCTCTAGAGCAGGTCAGTGTACATGCTCCACACCTCACTCACTCTCTCGAGCAGGTCAGTGTACATGCTCCACACCTCACTCACTCTCTGGAGAAGGTCAGTGTACATGCTCCTCACCTCACCCACTTTCTTTAGCAGGTCAGTGTACATGCTCCACACCTCACCCACTCTCTTTAGCAGGTTAGTGTACATGCTCCACACCTCACTCACTCTCTGGAGCAAGTCAGTGTACATGCTCCACACCTCACTCACTCTCTGGAACAGGTCAGTTTACATGCTCCACACCTCACCCACTCTCTTTAGCAGGTCAGTGTACACGCTCCACACCTCACTCACTCTCTGGAGCAAGTCAGTGTACATGCTCCACACCTTACTCACTTCCTGGAACTGGTCAGTGTACATGGTCCACACCTCGCCCACTCTCTGGAGCAGGTCAGTGTACATGCTCCACACCTCACCCACTCTCTGGAGCAGGTCTATGCACATGCTCCACACCTCACCCACTCTCTGGAACAGGTCAGTGTACATGCTCCTCACCTCACTCACTCTCTGGAGCCGTTCAGTGTACATGCTCCACACCTCACCAACTCTCTGGAACAGGTCAGTGTACATGCTCCACACCTCACTCACTCTCTGGAGCAGGTCAGTGTACATGCTCCACACCTCACTTGCTCTCTGGAGCAGGTTAGTGTACATAATCCACACCTCACTTGCTGTCTGGAGCAGGTCAGTGTACATGCTCCACACCTCACTCACTCTCTGGAGCAGGTCAGTGTACATGCTCCTCACCTCACCCACTTTCTTTAGCAGGTCAGTGTACATGCTCCACACCTCACCCACTCTCTTTAGCATGTCAGTGTACACGCACCACACCTCACACACTCTCTGGAGCAAGTCAGTGTAAATGCTCCACACCTCACCCACTCTGGAGCAGGTCAGTGTACATGCTCCACAACTTACTCACTTTCTGGAGCAGTTCAGTGTAAATGCTCCACACCTCACCCACTCTGGAGCAGGTCAGTGTACATGTTCCACACCTCGCTCACTCTCTGGAGCAGGTCAGTGTACATGCTCCACACCTCACCCACTCTCTTTAGCAGGTCAGTGTACGTGCTCCACACCTCACTCACTCTCTGGAGCAGGTCAATGTAAAAGCTCCACACCTCACCCACTCTCTGGAGCAGGTCAGTGTACATGCTCCACACCTCACCCGCTCTCTTTAGCAGGTCAGTGTACTTGCTCCATACCTCACTCACTCTCTGGAGCAGGTCAGTGTACATCCTCCACACCTCACCCCCTCTCTGGAGCAGGTCAGTGTTCATGCTCCACACTCTCCTACCCTCTGGAGCAGGTCAGTGTACATGCTCCAACCCTCACCCACTCTCTGGAGCAGGTCAGTGTACATGCTCCACACCTCACCCACTCTCTGGAGTAGGTCAGTATACATGCTCCACATCTCACCCACTCTCTGGAGCAGGTCAGTGTACATGCTGCACACCTCATCCACTCTCTCGAGGTGGTCAGTGTACATGCTCCACACCTCATGCACCCACTCTCTGGAACAGGTCAATACACATGCTCCACACCTCACCCACTCTCAGCAGGTGGTCAGTGTACATGCTCCTCACCTCACCCACTCTCTGGAGCAGGTCAGTGTACATGCTCCACACCTCACTAACTCTCTGGAGCAGGTCAGTGTACATGCTCCACACCTCACTCACTCTCTGGAGCAGGTTAGAGTACATGCTCCACACCTCACTCACTCTCTGGAGCAGGTCAGTGTACATGCTCCACACCTCGCCCACTCTCTCTGTAGCAGGTCAGTGTACATGCTCCACACCTCACTCACTCTCTGGAGCAGGTCAGTGTACATGCTCCACACCTCACTCACTCACTGGAGGAGGTTAGTGTACACGCTCAACACCTCACTCACACTGTAGCAAGTCAGTGTACACGCTCCACAACTCACTCACTTACTGGAGCAGGTCAGTGTACATGCTCCACACCTCACCTATCCTCTGGAACAGGTCAGTGTACATGCTCCACACCTCACCTATCCTCTGGAACAGGTCAGTGTACATGCTCCACACCTCACTAACTCTCTGGAACAGGTCAGTGTACAAGCTCAACACCTCACCCACTCTCTTTAGCAGGTTAGTATACATGCTCCACACCTCGCCCACTCTCTGGAGCAGGTCAGTGTACATGCTCCACACCTCACTCACTCTCTGGAGCAGGTCAGTGTACATGCTCCACACCTCACTCACTCTCTGGAGCAGGTCAGTGTACATGCTCCACACCTCACTCACTCTCTGGAGCAGGTCAGTGTACATGCTCCACACCTCACTCACTCTCTCGAGCAGGTCAGTGTACATCTTGAGATTAACTTGAGGTTATCTTGAGATGATTTCGGGGCATTACTGTCCCCACGGCCCGGTCCTCGACCAGGCCTCCACCCCCAGGAAGCAGCCCGTGACAGCTGACTAACTCCCAGGTACCTATTTACTGCTAGGTAACAGGGGCATTCAGGATGAAAGAAACTTTGCCCATTTGTTTCTGCCTCGTGCGGGAATCGAACCCGCGCCACAGAATTACGAGTCCTGCGCGCTATCCACCAGGCTACGAGGCCCCTAACACCTCATGCTCCACACCTCACTCACTCTCTCGAGCAGGTCATTGTACATGCTCCACACCTCACTCACTCTCTGGAGCAGGTCAGTGTACATGCTCCTCACCTCACCCACTTTCTTTAGCAGGTCAGTGTACATGCTCCACACCTCACCCACTCTCTTTAGCAGGTCAGTGTACACTCTCCACACCTCACTCACTCTCTGGAGCAAGTCAGTGTACATGCTCCACACCTCACCAACTCTCTTTAGCAGGTCAGTGTACACGCTCCACAACTCACTCACTCACTGGAGCAGGTCAGTGTACATGCTCCATACCTCACTCACTCTCTGGAGCAGGTTAGTGTACATGCTCCACACCTCACCAACTCTCTGGAACAGGTCAGTGTACATGCTCCACACCTCACCCACTCTCTTTAGCAGGTCAGTGTACACGCTCCACA